AGCATCTTTTATAGGAATATTCTATCTTTGTAATCTATATTTAAAGGACCTTACCCTTCAATGAAATACACAGAAAATCCTTTCCTCTCCAATATTATTTCTTAGTTTATGTGCTCTATTTCAACACATAGAATGGATCCATAACACATAATTCTAAAAGCTTATTTTGTGTTTCTTTTCCCATTATCACGCTAAGGCTATGCTAGGAACTCTGACAGTAGTATGAAAAGGGGAGGAAATGCTAAGGACAATGGTATTGTTATATTCGGCTTTATCCTGTAAAACATACTCTCATACCACATTTGGTAACACTTGTGAGGCTTAAAACTATGTTAGGATTATGGGCCAAGGAGAATAATAATAAGAATATTATAATAATAACCAATAATTGTAATAGTGTATTAGAGGGGCCTGGGCCTGGTATTAGTTAGTTCTGGCTGGCCCATAAGGAAATGTTATAAATATTAGTGGGAGTAGAATACAGGGGCAGGCAGATTTTTGGATTCGGGATTTGGGAGAGTCGAGGCCTCTCGAAGCGCCTCAACTGTATCGTCTTCTTCGTTTCTGCACTTTACCGCAATATTAGTGATCAATTTACTGTTACAAAATTGGAGCCTCTATCATTGGTATCAGAGCACTCGCTTCCTGGAGGCAGAGAATCTGAATCGATCGATAACACCAAGTACCTGGAGCGATGGAGGAATTCTGTGCGGAGAAAAGCCTCGACAATACTGGACGCAACCTGAAAGAGATGAGACCTACTTGGGCCGAGTCGCTGGAAGAGTTGCGCTATATGTTGCGCAAACTTCGTCACCGTCAGAAGCGACATAGACACAGAGCGAGGAGCCCTCCTAGAAATCGTTGGAAGTTGGAAAACCAGGACTCATCGTCGTCCCAAACTTCAAAGCGAGCAGATTTTGCCAGTTCGCAGACTTCATCGCAAACAGCTTCGCCCAGTTCGCGAACTGTTTCTCCTCGTTCGCAATCGCGAACTGCATCGCGTGGTTCGCAGACACCTTCCCAATCGGAAGTCTCTTCTCAGTCGCCAGCACTTCCGTCCGGTTGTCTGGCTTCTTCGCGATCTTCATCTCAAAGCTCGAAATCGCGAACCTCTTCGCAATCGCAATCTACGGGTTTGCAGGTCTCAGTTGGCAGGGCTGAAGGCGCGACTTATCTCAGTTCGCAGGTTTCCACACCTCCAGTTTCTCTCAGTTCGCGTCGAAGTGCTACGCGATTGACGGGAGAATCTTCAGCTTCGCACTCGCGACCCTTTTCTCCCAGTCCGCACATGCAGACCGTCTGTCCAAGTTCGCAGATGTCGTCTCTATCCAATCTGTCCAGTACTCTCAGTTCTCATCCAAGTGAGACGAGTTGGACAGGAGGTTTCAATTCGCAGGTTTCATCTCAGTCACAAACCTCTTCTTCCACTACTCCAGCTTCTTCGCAAGCAGTATACTTCCGTTCTCAAGTTCCTGAGGACACTTATTCCAGTCCACGGATTCCAACGCCAACAGCCTCTCACTATGAGGAAGCTCCATCTTTCCATCAGGAGATTTTTATTCAGCTGCAAAATCCATCAGAAGGTATTAATTCTTCACACCCCATGGAAAATATAAAAGAGAGAGTTCAGTTAGTGTCTAACAGTGCTGAGGATGTTCTGAGGATCGCCAATCTAGGGCAAAATTCTGCTAGAGAAGCTGATAATTCTTCTCTGGAGACCAAGCCGCTGTCCGTGGGTGTTATGGGTGACCCTGGCAAAAATGAAGTTACTGTCAATCATACGCAATTGAAAGATCAGGTTAAAGTCACAGATACAACAGAGAAGAGGATTCAAGCACTGGTGGGGAATTCAGATCTTGATGTGATGACTGCTCGGCCTGATGTTTTTGTCTCTCCAACTGGGCTCAATCCTTTAATGTGTCAAAACTTATCTTCCATATTAAAAGGGGAGTCATACATACCCACATTCTCTGCTTTCTATGGCATCCATTACACGTTTAGGGAGATGAACGATGATGATATTCTACCCACAGGACGTCCACCAGATAATCCGGAAGGGGCAGAAAATGTTGACGCCGATGCCAGCTCACTCTCAAAGCATACTTTACTTGAAGAGACAAGTAGAGGGCTGTGCAAGGGTAGATTTGCTGCAAGAGCTATGGGCTCTCTTATATGGGGAATGAGAGAAGGAAATTTCCCAGATTCGGTGCCTTGGTCGTTAGATACTATGAAATCTGATGGCAGCAACATTGAGAGTTGTGGAGTTGCCAAGGGCCTGGGTGAGTGGATGCATATGTTTACAGATAATAATGAATATATCCTGGAGGCACAAAATGTGGAGCATTTGACAATTTTTTATGTTTTTTATGCGACTTATGATCCTGTCAGTATAAATCAAGGTGTAGATGATCTGAAGGATGCAGGGATCAGAAGGGTTCCACCAGACTTGGGTCAAAATGAATTTCAAGCATTTATAGTTGCAAATGAAGGCGATTCCAGTTGTTTCATATCTAGGAAGAATCAGGCACTTGAGTTATCAAGAGATCACAAGCCTGCTCTGAAAGATGAATCTCAGGGAGAGGTGAAACACTGTCAACTATCTGCCCGAAGCTCAGAGGGACTTATATTCCCTAGAAGCTTCAAGGTACAAGGAGAGCTACAAATTCTGATTTTACTGAAGTCTGGATCCACTCTTAATTTCATATCTCAGAAATTGATAGAGGTGGTGCAAATGTACTATAAAGCAGCAGTAAGGTTTCAAGTGGAGATGGGGAAGGGAGAGCAATTATCTCTCCAGAGCAGTTGTATGTTACTACAGACTTGGGCACAAAATTCAGTGATGACTGCGGATTTCTATTTGTTAGACCTTGGAGAGATTAATGTGATTGTGGGAAAGGGACTGCTAGCCAATCAGGGAGAGGCCGAGGAAAACTTCAGGAAACACAGCATAAAGTGGTTGGGAGAGGAGCCAGAGATGCAGTCGCTGGAAGATTTTAAGCTCTGTAACATTGTGGAGCAGGATGCAACAAAGTCCTTGCCTCTGCTCTTTCTTGCTACGCTCTTTCTGGCTATGGAAGGGGTGATGATGAAGGTTCAAATCAGGAAGCTATGGGTTCAGAAATCCGTGAAATACTGGGAAGGTAGAGGCGCAAGGATGAAGATGAACCTGAAGATCAAGGCTGTTTCATATCACCCACCTTGAGGACAAGGTGGTTGTCCAAGGGGGGAGATATGTTAGGATTATGGGCCAAGGAGAATAATAATAAGAATATTATAATAATAACCAATAATTGTAATAGTGTATTAGAGGGGCCTGGGCCTGGTATTAGTTAGTTCTGGCTGGCCCATAAGGAAATGTTATAAATATTAGTGGGAGTAGAATACAGGGACAGGCAGATTTTTGGATTCGGGATTTGGGAGAGTCGAGGCCTCTCGAAGCGCCTCAACTGTATCGTCTTCTTCGTTTCTGCACTTTACCGCAATATTAGTGATCAATTTACTGTTACAAAATTGGAGCCTCTATCAAACTATTCATACATTACAAATTAAAGATCAACCATACAGAACACTTATCCATAATATACATGTCATTTTCTCTTTTCCCAAATTTAGAAGGGTGTATGGGTTACAGTTAGTAGTGAGATCTTCCTGATTAAAGTTAGAAATTTAGAAATTGATTACATAATAGAGAAATATATTCCTTCTTAGCCCTGCCCATAAAATTCAGGAATCAGAACTCATCCCAATCTTCTTATGAAGACACGCCTGTTGTTTCTTATCCTAAGTAAGAACCATCTACTACTTCTTCAGCATTTTCCTGCTAATTATCTCTCTAAACATGTCCTTATTTCCTTTTTTTCATCACTTTATTTCTGTAGTTTCTTCTTCCTCAATTTTTTCTCTTTTTCTTAATGAGATCTTTAGGAAGAAAAAAGACACTTAAGCAATCGCCAAGATTAGAATAGACAACTTTGAATTGGCATTTTCCAGTTTACAACAAGTTCAGAACAGATCATATGTCATTTGACTGTTTATAGCTTATTACAATCATTTCCTGGAAATAGTTTGTTGAAACAAACTCCAAATAGATTTTGAAGAATTGAAAGGATATCAACTTTCTTAATGGGGCTATCCAAACACATCTTACTCTACCTGTAAGCTGTAACTAAAAGTTCCTCTTTATAATAATGGGATGCTGTTAAGGACTCGCGTGTACGACCTTGTCCACGGTCTCCAACGAGATCTCAGAAGAGAAGAAGAGCCTACTGAGACTTTGGTATCAAGGTCGATAATTTATGTGCATTTACCTATCTGCTTTGGGCTGTGGCAAATTATAACAGCATTTATATTCGATATATGCCTCTCATGGGTTCCACTCTTCAAGAAATTCCATCAATCACACAAAAATGTAGGGCTTACTATAGTTCTACATAATACATAGATAGTATGTCCCAGTCCGATGTCATAAGTCAAATCATGTTAGCCAACCCCAAGCTCTTTTGGGATTAGGGGTTGGATGTTATTGTTAGTGTTGATATGTCTCAGACTCTCAGACTCTGAGTCAGTTAGTTAATTTGACATTTCTAAATTGATATGTTTGACATGTCTCAGTCTGTTAGTCTGTTATTGTAGAGCTCCTAAATTGGCATTTCGGAAGATAATGAAATGCTTTACACATCGTTGTTCGGAGGTTCAGTCCAGTTATAGAATTCAACATAATAATCTAAATAAAGTACTCCTCAACAGTGGCAGAGCCAAGAATTTTGGAGGCTAAAGTTAAATATGTTATAGTTTTTTTCAGCTAACGCATATTTGCACACACACATGTGTGTGTACTGTGTACCAGAAGGAACATTGGGAGGGGGCGAGGCCCCTCCAGCCCATCACTGACTCCACCCAGGCTGCTCAATGCATAAAATCACATAGCAATAACTAGATAAAACCAAAGGTAGTTTTAATTATACGACTAGTAATAAGACAATTTGTGCAATTAATAATACCTGAACGCCTCCATCACCCAAAGTGCAGGGGGAAATGATAGGTCCAGGCAGAGCAGGCTTCTCGGCTTGGACTTGAATTGGAATGCTGAAGCCTTTCCTAGGCAGATGGTGAGCTTGAGCCTCCACGGCCGCCTCAGAATAAGGTGGATTGGCATCACCGTTTCCGTTTTCTTCATGGACTTGTTCAGCTTCATCCTTCACAAACCCTAGAAATCCAGCAAGTTTCCTGAACAACCCCATCTCTCACACACACTAATGCGACGTGATGAGAGAGCGGCTGCCGAATACAAATTGCAGGAGATACTCCTAATAATGAGTTTGTTTGGTGGGAATGCAAAATACCAACTTTCTTTACTTAAAGTTCGTCTCCAAAGTATTGGAATTCAACTAGAGTCGCATTCTTTCATTCAACTATCCTGCCGATGTGAGGCTCTCAAGAATGGATGTCAATGTCTCAATTATTTTTCCTTTTCATTTTTAACTTTTGTAGTTTCAATTATATATTTTATACTATAGTTTTAGACTATAGCCTCTTCAATAGGTAGAATAGTACTCGAGCACTATTAATATAAGTACAGGTCCCTCTAGAACCTTCATTCTCTTGAGAGGGTTTTACCGGAAAAAACTCCCGACTCCCGACTCCCGATCCCGACAATCCCGATCCCGATCCCGACAATCCCGATCCCGACTAGTCGAGAATTTTTCCCGATCCCGACTTAGTCGGGACGGGACCGGATTTTTTTTTTTTAAAAAAAAGTTGGGATCGGGAAAATCCCGACATCCCGACATTATATGTATATATATATATATATATGAGGGTGAGATCACATACTAACCATTCCTCCCATGCTAACCTACAAACTATCAAAAACGGTGCATCTTTACATTATTTGTACTGCAAATTGAAGTTCAAAGTGTTGCATATTATTTGTACTGCATATTAAAGTTCAAACTTTTGCATATTGTTTTTATTGCATATTGAAATTCACAGTGTGCATCTTTGCATTATTTGTACTGCATATTGAAGTTCAATGTGTTGCATATTATTGAGTTAGTAAGTTAGTATTTTAAGCATGGTTAGTATGTGATCTCTTATCTATATATATGAATATATAAAAAATGAAAAAAAAAGAATATATAAAAAATGAATATGTATCTAAATAATTTCATATCTTTTTTAATTACTTATTTCTTACATAGATTAATCTTTTACTACGAGTATCTTACAATATCAAACTTCTAAAACTATTCGGCATTTGTCCCAAAATGAATATTCGAGATCCTAACTAAATAGAGATTATTCTTTATCCCGACAATCTAAATCACAACAATATTACAAATTTTTCGGTTCTAATGAACCCTTTAAAAATCATGATCGAGACTATTTTTTTTTTCTTTTGTAAATAATCATAATATGTATTTATACATTATATTCATTGGTCATAAAGTTTCTGAATGAGTCTACTTAGTTTTGAATTTTAAATAATATACGTTACACATCCTTCTTTTAGTGATTTTTATATGATGTTTGAAGTTTCACTAAGCCTTGATAGCTTATTCAAAAATTATACTATTAATTAATTGAAGTTACAAATAAAAATTATTCTAAAAGTATGTACTAGTGTGAATTTGTGATGATAATTATTAGAATAAATTTTATAAGTAGATAGATGATGATAAATATGATATAACAATGAACAAAGAATATCAAAGTTAGTGTTTAACTAAAGAAATTACATAATTTTATGTTTAATACTTCATTGTCGGGATTTAGTGAGATTCCGGATCGGGATCCCGACTTAATCGGGATTTTAATGTCGGGATCCCGACTTAATCGGGACGGGATACGGGATCCTCTTGTAGTTTGAATCGGGGTCGGGACGGGATCGGGATTTGGGCAATCCAAATGGGGATCATCCCGATCCCACCCCTAGTTTTACCCCAACTCCCGTTAGACATCATCCTTGTAATTGACAAGGTATCCAAATCAAATTGCACAGTTGATTTCACAATCTTCTCTATTTTCAATATGGGTTTCTTAAGGAAACCATGAATAAACAATCTCAGGATATTGGCAGAAGTGTCAGGGAGAGAGAAAGCAAGGACAGAGCAAGAATTGACCGGGTTATTTCAAGTCGAGATGGGAAGACCCTAGATTCGGAATTATGTATTGCAGCACAGATATGGACGGAGAGAAGGATGAACGATGGAAAATTCAAAGCTTTTATTGACACAATGGCGAATCTCTCGAAACCTTACCATGGAGTTAAAGGGGATGTTCTAGATAAAGAGCAGAAGACTTTCATATTTCGCTTCAATGACTTGGAGGATAAAAAGAGGGTTCTAGATGAGCAACCATGGCACTTTGAACGACACACAATCGTAATTAATGAACTCCATGCCTAGCTAGACCTTCTGATGTTAATTTAAGCTTTCTTCCCATATGGGCAAGTTTTTACGATTTACCCATGGGTGGACGTACGGATGCTAGAAATCTTAAAACATCTGGAGATAGGGTATAGTAGGTGTTTTCGTGGGGGCGGACCCTTCTGCCAGCATGGTGATTAAGAGATCAGTTCGGCTCCACATGCTAATTGACCCGAAGAAATCCCTTGTTATAGAAATTGATGAATTGAACACACCGGAAGGGGGGACGACGGAGATAGAGGTACAATATGCAAAGCTATCACTCTTTTGTTACTATTGTGGTCTCCCGGGACATGGTGAGAAGGATTGTGCTAAGAAGAAAAGTGGGTGTAATACCCGAGTTTAATATAAGAGGATTAATAGTACTACTCATACCAACAAGGTGCATCTCCTTTTAAGGGAGCTCATTAGCCAAGAACTCCAAAGTTAAGCGTGCTTGCACGGGAGTAGTCTTGGGATGGGTGACCCCCTGGGAAGTTTCTCAGGGCGCGCACGAGTGAGGACAAAGTGCGCGTAAAAGGCTAGTGGCGGTTTGTGAGGACAGTACTAGAGGTCTGGAGTAACTACCTCGGGTCCTGGGGGGCCGGGGTGTTACAGGTGGTATCAGAGCAACCCTGCGACAGTGTGCTGATCCGTTGGATATCAGGCGGGCACTTAGCAGGGGAAAAGATTCTGGGGTGTGATTGAGATTGGTTTAAGGGCGCAACGAGGACGTTGCGATCCTAAGTGGGGGTGATTGTAATACCCGAGATTAATTTAAGAGGATTAATAGTACTACTCATACAAACAGAGGTGCATCTCCTTTTAAGGGAGCTTATCACCCAAGAACTCCAAAGTTAAGCGTGCTTGCACGGGAGTAGTCTTGGGATGGGTGACCCCCTAGGAAGTTTCTCAGGGCGCGCATGAGTGAGGACAAAGTGCGCGGTAAAGGCTCGTGGTGGTTTGTGGGGACAGTACTATTGGTCCGGAGTAACTACCTCGGGTCCGGTGGGGCCGGGGTGTTACAGTGGGTGTGAAACAAATTTTAAGTATTTACTTAAAATTGATCGCAAATAATAATATGTGAGAATATCGGGTACAATATCTAAATATGAATCCTCTGATTCTTCACTTGCAATTTGAAGTAATATAATTAAAGAATTTAATTTAAAATTAAATCTCTAATCCTTCAAATATTCGAACGTTCTTCGAATCTTCGTTCTTGAGATCTTCGAATCTTCGTTCTTTGGATCTTCAAATCTTCTTGAATAAAGAATTCAGATTGAAGGGCCTCCGGTTTTCAAGTGGCTTGATCTTCAACAAAAGGGCCGTTTTATGGCTTAATCTTCTGTTTAAGGGCCTCCCGGGATATATGGATTGATCTTCAATTGAATTTTGATTCAATCTTCATATGAATATCTTCAAATTTTCAAAGATTTGTTCTTCATATCTTCGAATCTTCAAAGTCTTGTTATTCAGATCTTTGAATCTTCGAACTTCGTTCTTCAGATCTTCGAACGTTCTTCAACTTTTGAACTTATTTTATCAAGAATAGATGAAATTACAAAGGATTATTCATATATTCTTGACAAAATCGTGGCTTGATCTCTTCCTCTTCTTCGGAATCGTTCAGAGCCTCTCGGGATTTCTTCAGAGCTTTGCTGCAGCGTTTCTTCGTCTGGAAGTTCTCCTCCCTTCCTCTCAAATGAGACCCCTATTTATAGGTGTGGAGGAGGTGAAAATATGGCCTAGGGTTGCTGAAATTCGTCCATATCTCATGGGCCATAATTAAAATGGGCTTTGGGCTCCATTTGCTTGCATTTTAATAGCTAGAAAAATCAGCACTTGTGCAACATATCTGGACAGCTTTCTTAACAAGGTTCGGAGCTATTTCTCATGCATATGGACATATTTTTTTAACCAGATTCGTCCTCTTTATCAATCGGATCATGCCTCTTATGTATTGAGCCAATATTTGATGACGGGCTCAAAATAGAGAAATTAATAGGACCGGTCCATTCTTTTAGGGAATTAATTTATAATTAAATTAATTGGATATTTTAAATAACCCCGATTAATTTAATTATTAAATTTTATCCGAATGGACCCATATTAATATTTTTATAGAGCCCAACAACCATTACGAGCAGTCCATTCGAATCTGACGATGGTCCAATATCACTTGGAAGAGGCCCAATAAGACACATAATAGCCCGATAGCATTTAAATCAAACTTAATGGCAACAACAGTCCGTCACAGTTATCTCGTAAGCCTAATTCATTCATGAAGTAATGGCCCATTAATTTTAGATGTCCACAAATGCCCCTCGAGACTTGATTGAACGTCTAAAACAAGAGAGAGCGAGTCTCGAATTACTTTGAAAATGGTAGAAAGAGACCAATTTGCCGAATTGGCCTGTAGAATCTAAATATTCCACTTAAAATAATGAGGCCTGGCAGATATCCAATTGCATTTAGAGCACCCTGAACTAAACATCTCAATAGATCAGCGGGAATATAGAATCACAATTCTAATTCCAATCTATGATCCCAGTATGACTGTACGAGGCTATGAGTCCTATTAGGACCTTCATTCTTCTAATTTGAGATCCGTATTACAGTGTATAAATATCAATCTCATCTGATCCTTCTTTTACACCTCCGATTATAAAACCCAGAGGCCATAGCTATCAAGATTTCAGGAACCAGGCAGGTAATTTCTTTTTTATTATTCTTCCTTTCCTCTTTTGGCGTTTTGCAGGGTGAATTTCTGGAGGCAACTAGTAGCTGTTTCCATAACCAATTCTGGACCATGACAACCGTTCTAGCTTCTGATCGATCAAGAAGAGTTGGAGACCTTAAATTACCTCCACTTTAATGAAAGAATTGTTGCTGAATATTTGTTAACTACAGTGGCTACTACCATTAAGCCTGCAATTGGTGGGAGCCGATCGATTTCTGGTGTTGTCAAAGGTTGGTGTCGCCCAAGAGATGATTCCGTTGCAGGTCGTGATGTTGCTGCCAGAGAAGATGGTGGACCCGTTTTCATTGTTGGAGCCTTGCGCTGGAGAGAGAAGCTGCCGCTTTTGCCGGCATGGCGAGAAGAAGGAACCAGATCGATTTCATGCTGGTACGAAGGTGATTAGCGGCAGACTAAGATGGAGTCTAACGGGCGATCGCAAATCGTTTGCTGTTACCTGGGACGCCGTTGGATTTCTTCCCATCTGTTTTGCTTGTAGGCCGCTACTACTCTTGGCGTGAAGGAGAAAATTGTGAGATGACGTATTCGGTCTGCCGTGAAGATTTAGAGCTTTAGAAGACCGGCCACTTCGTCGGTTTGAAGACCCGTTATTTTGTGGGTGTGAAGACCGGCCACTTCGTCGGTTTGAAGATCCGCTATTTTGTGGGTGTGAAGACCGGCCACTTTGTCGGTTTGAAGACCCGCTATTTTGTGGGTGTGAAGACCGGCCACTTCGTCGGTTTGAAGACCCGCTATTTTGTGGGTGTGAAGACCGGCCACTTCGTCGGTTTGAAGACCCGCTATTTTGTGGGTGTGAAGACCGGCCACTTCGTCGGTTTAAATTTATGAGCTCCGCTGCCATTATTGAAGGAATGCGGAATTTGACGAGCTGGCTAATTGAGAACTCTGTGATATGTTCTCTACCTCAATTAGTTTAAGAGAAGAAACGGGAGGGAGCAAAATCACTAATTGTTCTCTGCCTTAGTTGCTTCTGCATGTTTATTGCAAAGGAGAAATTAAGGAACATGAAGAGCACAACCGCAGAGTAATTGCTATGTGATGGAAACCCATATTCGGATTGTGCAAATTCGGCCAGTTGGGGCTTCGTGATGGAGAAATCAGCCATATTTATTTGAGAGAGACTTTCAATTTATTCCTTTGATTTAATTACAAAAAAATCTCACTTTTTTTTTCAATGACTTTTTTTTTTCATCTTTTTTTTTTGACCATTTTGCTCTTTTTTTTTATGCAGCACAAAATGGTGTTTTTAAAGGATATAAAGCATGAAGGTCAGAAACTTCTCTCCATATCAACGGGCAATACTAATGGCCATGAGATTCATCTGGAGATTTGCAAACCCTTTGCTCGTGGTATTTGCCCTGCGACTGTTGTGTCATACCGCGTTGCTAACTGGACTCCCGAGTGCGAGTATCAAGATCAATCTCTGCGAATTTTAATATCTGGCTTTCCTCAAAGACCTTCTCTTAACATTCTTCCTTCTTTGGGTAGACGTATCCTTGATGACAACATCCCCCTCAAAAAACATCTATTTTTTGGTGGTGAATTTAGATTTATCACTGGTTATTGGGAATGGGCGGAAGACGTTTTGGGCATGAGTAAAAACATCCTAAAGAAGGGGCTTATTTATGATGTTGTTTATGCTTCATTGTTCACATATGACCGATGTATTAATGCTGTACAAGCATTTTGTGAGGCATGGTGTCCCGCGGTGAACACTTTACTTACATCAATTGGTGAATTGGCGATCACGCTTTGGGATTTACATGTTATTGGAGGATTACCAATAATAGGAGATGCATATGATGAATCTATCTCGAGCGCCTCTGAGATGTTGAAGGCAAATGCCGACCGCCCTTTCCAGCTTTGCAAATACTTATTTGGCGCGTACCATCACCTTTTTCCAAAGACGGGAGACAAACGTTTGCTATGTGTTCATGTATGGGTCAAATTCTGGTTTAAGAAAGCCTCTAAGTATACTATGCCTCCATCGAGAACGGAAAAGAAGAGAACAGCTCGTGCAAAGGCAACTCACAACCCGAGTGGATCAATTCCAAAATTTGGTGGATGGACAAATTCTATGAAGGTACCGTTCCAAATACTCAAGGTTCCTGCCGAATATGAGAAAGAGATCTATTTAGCAGCATTCCTATCATGTTGGCTATGTGCATTTGTGTTGCCACATGAAGGTCCAAGGGTCATACGTCCAGAAATTTTTAAAGTTGCTTGTATGGCTTGCGGGAGGAAAATATGTCTTGCTGTTCCAGTTCTTGCCAGTATCTATCATGGACTTAATCAAATTTCAAATGCTCCGTCTCCTGACCAAGTTAGAACGTGCTTTCCTGTTCACTATGTTTATGGATGGTTGGCCTCATACTTTGACACTCATTTCAAGAATGATATTCAGTCCACGACCCCATTGATGATCTCTTATTCGGGAGAGGGCGGAGCAAGGTCCCTTGATAAAAGAGGAGCGCGTGGGAGAATTTTCCAGGGAGATGTGTCTTCATGGATGTGTTCTACTCATCGGAGAATTAGGGACCACGTTTTCTTTGACGGCGAGAATCCTTCCGAGACTGACTTAACATTCTTTAGATGTCTTCGATCTAATTTTCTTGAATTACGCTACCAAAATCATTGCATTGCCGAGCCATACACTCCTCATCGCTTTAGTCGACAGTTTGGGTACTTCCAAGCTAATGCACCTGGTTTGCTTGAGAAGCATGAGCGTCGTGTTTCTCTTGTTGCTGGATTTCGGTTTTGGCAGCAGTTTGAGCATGGCATGTCACGGGCTGAAGCGGTGTTTCCGACTCCTCCGACTATTCCCGCGAAGTATTATTCCTTGGAGTATAAAGAATGGTGGAGCCAAGTTCATGGTAGCTACCTCGAGAATCGCGTGGGTGACTTGATTAGGATTTGTGATTTTGAAATTGGCAATGTGGTCAGCTCTCCGGATCCCGTAGCTCCAGCCTCCAAGAAGAAGAAAGAGGTACCCGATACTGAAGCTAAGTCTTTGCCTCAGAAAAAGGCTAAGCTTGCAGCACCTAGGGCTGAAGTTTTGATCAAGGATGCTGAGAAAGAAACACTTCCTGCCAAGGCGAATGAGAATCAAGTTCTTGAGAAGCAGAGTAATGATGATAGGAATTGGAAGCATCTTTAGAGAAAACCTCATCCTGGGCCACTGAGGGTTAGTTTCATTATTTAATAATCTAATTTAACCTCAAGCCTGGACTTATATTTTCTTCCTTCTTTTGCAGATTCATCCAATCCTTGATGATGCTAGTTCTTCAAATCATGTTTCTTCATCTAGCTCAAGTGAAGGAGAAACCGATGATCATGACACCGTTGCGGGGTTGATGGCAAAAGGTGTCCCAAGTAATTGCAAAGAAGTTCCAATCGACGAGATACCGAAATCCCCTCATGCGAAATCGGCTGTATCCGTTTTTCAAGGAGAGAACTACTTCTTTACTTTGTATAAGCGGTTCCTCATTGAAACTTGGGGCGGTATTCAAAAGAAGATAGAAAAGGTTACAGCAGAGAACGTCTCTTCTCTTCGAGAGGATGTTCAAAGTTGTGTTATCTTGATGGAGAAGGACGGTATTGACCTTTCCGTGTTGAAGACAAGAGTGGAGAATTTTGTTTGAAAGAGCACAAGTATTTGATCAAAAGTGCTCGACTATTGCTGACAGGGTCCCTACGGAGAAGCAGTCTCGGGAATTGGCTATGTCACAAGCTTTTTGTGCAGATATTGAAGCTAAGAGATCTCAAAATCAAGTCGCATTACTTGATGATGAGAAATCTCTTAATGAAATCAAGAAGAAGATAGCCTTATTGGAAGCTGAAGCTAAGGAAGTAGAAGTTTTGATTTCCCAGCGTCATGCAGAGGCTAGTGACTTGGATGCAGCTCTTACGAAGGCCAAGGAGGAATATTCACGGATTTTGAAGACTATTAAAGCATCAGACGAAGATCAACTTGCTTTAAGTACCCAGAAGAAGGAGCTAGAGGCTTTGAAGGATGACTTAGTCAGCTTTAAATTGTTTTTAGGCTGAGTTTGTTTTTACTTGTTTATAGATTAGCTTTTAGTCAGCTAACACTTTCCTTCTTTTCTTTCCATCAAACTATATATGTATATATATTTGATTGATTTCTTGCTCCTCATGAGTTGATATCCTCTTACTTTCCATTTTTTTTTTGACCAAGATCAAACTTTATTGGGGTTTGTATTGTTATAACTGAACTCAAAATGAAACTTTTGAGCTGCCTACGTACTCCTATGAAGGAGATCAAGTCAAACGTAGTTCATACATACCATTTGAATTGGTAATCTAAAAAAAGGTGGGGGTGCCGTACACAGTTTTAACTCATGCGGGCCAGGAGCTTGCCGTACACATTTTTAACTCTCGTGGGCCAAGAGTATCTATGATTATGCTCACCCATAGACAAAGTGAGATGTTTTAGTAGTTTAGCCACTTACAACATCATTGGTGGTTCAAGCCATTCAACATTTCTTATGGCTATATCCATACCCCAAATATCAAGGGTTGTAAAGCTTTAGAAACCTTCCATTGATCGGGCCAATCTTTGAGCCATCTGCATCGACCAACTTGTAGGCACCGCCTGAGTATACTTCTTGAACAACATAAGGACCATCCCATTTAGGCGAGAATTTGTGTCCAGTTTTCCTTGTAATAATGATAGGTCTTCGCACAGCTAGAACTTTATCACCAATTTGGAAAGAACGAATTCTAACTCCCTTATTAAAAGATCTTGACAAACGTGCTTGATAGCATTCTAAGTTCTGCTGAGCTTCTAACCTCTTTCCATCAAGTGCCTCGAGTTCTGTCAATCGCAACTTTACATTCTCTTCATCAGTAAGACCTTCTTGAATAGCCAATCTTAAAGATGGTATTTGGCGTTCAAGGGGAAGGACTGCTTCAGTACCATACACCAAAGAATATGGAGTACTTTGGGTAGGTGTGCGATAAGTCGTTCTATACGCCCATAGTGCTTCTTCCATTCTTTCATGCCAATCTTTCTTTGATCTTGACACTACTTTCTTCAACAGGTTGCATAGAGTCTTATTGAAGGCTTCAGCGAGTCCGTTTGCAGCATCATAGTACATACAAGACTTCCGTTGCTTGAAGTCAAACAGTTTGCATATCTTGTCCATCAACTTGTTGTCAAAAGGTTTCCCATTATCTGTTAAGATATATCGGGGAATGCCAAAGCGGTAGATGATATGAACTCGGATGAAATCAGCAACATTTTCCTTCTTCACCTCTTTCAATTCAACTGCTTCGGCCCATTTTGAGAAATAATCAGTAGTGGCTAGTATGTATGAATGCCCTCCTGATGAGCTAGGCGTGATTGGTCCAACTACATCAAGTCCCCAAGCGTCAAACGGCCATGATGCTACTGTTGGATGCAATGGTTTTGGTGCTTGATGGATAAAATTTGCGTGATATTGGCATGCTTGACATCTTCTGGCATAATCCATGCAATCTTTCACCATAGTCGGCCAATAATATCCCATTCTCTTGATGTGAAAGTGCAATTTAGGACCGGACTGATGAGCTCCACATACTCCAGAATGTGCCTCTTCCATGGCCTGCAAGACTTCATCTCCACCCAAACATATAAGAAATACACCATCGAAAGACCTTCGATAAAGTGTATCCTTATAGTAGATGAAACGTGGTGAACGTCTCTTTAAGTCCACTTTCTTACGAGGGTTTTCAGGTAACTTCCCATCAGTAAGATAATCAATGAGTGGTTGTCTCCAATCTTCATTTTCAATATCATAGACCGATGTAGTTGGCATCTCGATTATCTCTTCGGCTGCGCCATCTTCTCCGATGAAAGGAGGAATTACCCATTTTTGACATACCCGTACTTCAATTTCATCGTCAAGATGTGCCATGTTTGATGCTAACTGTAATACCCGAGATTAATTTAAGAGGATTAATAGTACTACTCATACCAACAGAGGTGCATCTCCTTTTAAGGGAGCTTATCACCCAAGAACTCCAAAGTTAAGCGTGCTTGCACGGGAGTAGTCTTGGGATGGGTGACCCCCTGGGAAGTTTCTCAGGGCGCGCATGAGTGAGGACAAAGTGCGCGGTAAAGGCTCGTGGTGGTTTGTGGGGACAGTACTATTGGTCCGGAGTAACTACCTCGGGTCCGGTGGGGCCGGGGTGTTACAGGTGGTATCAGAGCAACCCCCGTGACAGTGTGATGACCCATTGGATATCGGGCGGGCACTTAGCGGGGGAAAAGATTCTGGGATTTGATAGAGATTTGAGATTGGTTTAAGGGCGCAACGAGGACGTTGCGATCCTAAGTGGGGGTGATTGTAATACCCGAGTTTAATATAAGAGGATTAATAGTACTACTCATACCAACAAGGTGCATCTCTTTTTAAGGGAGCTCATTAGCCAAGAACTCCAAAGTTAAGCGTGCTTGCACGGGAGTAGTCTTGGGATGGGTGACCCCCTGGGAAGTTTCTCAGGGCGCGCACGAGTGAGGACAAAGTGCGCGTAAAAGGCTAGTGGCGGTTTGTGAGGACAGTACTAGAGGTCTGGAGTAACTACCTCGGGTCCTGGGGGGCCGGGGTGTTACACTAACCCTGTTAGTGCATCAGCTTGCTTGTTTTCTTTTCTCGGCACGTGTTCAATTGTAACTTCACCAAGCCATCCAATGAGTGCCCTTGCATATTTGTTGTAAGGATGTAGTTCAGGCTTTCTGACTTCATAGATTCCAAGCACTTGATTGATGATCAGTTTTGAATCGCCATAGATATTAACCCGTGTTTGCTTCATGTCTACAACTATTTCAAGTCCGAGAATAAGTGCTTGATATTCAGCGACGTTATTGGAGCATTGTTCCATAAGCGTGAAAGCATAGGGCAGAACTTGACCTTCGGGTGTAACAAATACAACACCAGCTCCCGCGCCTTCTCTATGTGCAGCCCCATCAAAATACATCTTCCATGGAGGCAAAACTTCAATTATAAGCACGTCTTCATCAGGTAGATCATCAGAAAGCTCCCACTCAGCAGGGATAGGGTGATCGGCTAGGAAGTCTGCTAAAGCTTGTCCTTTTACAGACTTTTGTGAGACATAGACAATCTCAAACTATTGAAATATCAAATACCATCTGGCAAGACGATCAGATAGGACCACTTTAGACATCACATACTTCAGTGGATTCGCCCTAGAGACAAGATGTATCGTGTGAGCTTCAAAGTAGTGTTTAAGCTTCTTGATTGCAAATATGAGGGCTAAACATAACTTCTCAATGGGCAAGTACTTCAATTCATGTGGAGTCATCATTTTGCTTAAATAATAAAGGGCATTCTCCTTCCCTTCATCATTTTCTTGAGCTAATAAAGCTCCCACAGACCTTTATTGAGCTGCAATGTAAAATATCAAAGGGTGACCAGCAACGGGTGCATTTAGGACCGGTGGTTTCATCAAATAAGCCTTGATATTATCAAACACATTCTGACATGATTGGTCCCATATGAATGGCACACCCTTCTTCATAATTCGACTAAACAGCTGGCACCTTCCCGATAAGTTTGAGATGAATCTTCGTATATAAGCCAATTTCCCTTGTAAACTCTTCAGTTCATGAATATTCCGAGGCTCAGGCATATTCACAATAGCGTCAATCTTGGCTTGTTCTATCTCAATGCCTTTGTGACGAACAATAAATCCCAAGAACTTCCCAGCTGAAACTCCAAAAGCACACTTCAGAGGGTTCATTTTGAGACCAAACTTTCTTAAGCGATCAAATACTATTCTTAAGTGAGATAGATGCTCATTTCGGGCCTTTGATTTCACCACGAGATCATCAACATAACATTCCACGATTTTGTGGAGAATGTCATCAAATATTGCTTGCATAGCTCGTTGGTAAGTAGCTCCAGCATTCCTAAGTCCAAACGGCATGACCGTGTAGCAATAGATTCCCTTGGGAGTTCGGAACGCAGTCAATTCTTCATCTGCGGGAGCCATACGGATCTGATTATAACCGGAAAAACCATCCATAAATGACATAATTTCATATCCGGTCACAGCATCTATCATCAATTCAATGATAGGCAGTGGGAAGTCATCTTTCGGGCAAGCAAGATTCAGGTCCCGAAAATCAACACATATTCGGATCTGTCCATTTTTCTTTCTGACAGGGACAATGTTGGCTATCCAAGTAGGATATTTTACTTCTCGGATGAATCCAGCTTCAATAAGTTTATCCACCTCTGCCTCGATCAATGGGATCAAATTCGGACGGAAGCGCCTTTGAGTTTGCTTTACAGGTCGACACCCTTTCTTTATTGCTAAGTGATGAACAACGACCTTTGGGTCTAGTCCCGGCATTTCTTTATAAGTCCATGCAAAGACATCCTTGTAATCTTGAAGTAAGGCTACATATTCTTCTTTTTCTTCTCTCGAGAGAAGAACACTGATATAAATGGGGCGAGGGTCTTCTTCGGTGCCAAGGTTTACTTCTTGTAATTCATCCAAGGTGGTTCGCACTCCTTCTTCAAATTCAGGAGGAGCTTCATCAGCATCTTCACCTTCGGCCGGAATTTCATCTTCAAAAGTAACATGGTAAGATGAGGCAATGTATTCCTCGTCATCGGCCAGTTCATCAGATATCAACTCATCATTTTCAAGCATTTGAGTATGAACTATGGTTTTCAGTTGTCCTTTGAGGGTTTCTCCACATGAGACTTTTACATCAGTTTCTCGTCTCATTCTTGACGGAATCAAGCTTCTGCATTCATTCGAAGCTTGTGCTTTTGCATATTGGTTGAAAGACCTCTTACATGAGCGAATTTTCCCCAACCTTTCATGTACTGGCTTCCGCGCAAAGTTTTGCCCACTACATGGATCTTCAACGTTCTTCACGATCATCGGGATCATTCCAAGCCTTTCTTCTAAAGTCTTCTTCATGATCTTCTTTGGTTTTGGCCCCATTCTGTCAAATATGGCGGGCCTTGATCTTGCCCACCCCCCCCCCCCCAATCCGATCAAAGACAGAATACTTCGGTTTAGAAGTCACTTCATCTTCTTCACCAGCACTGATATGATGCGTTGCGGCTCTATTTATGAGGATCCTTATGGGTTTTGGCTGAACATAACCCAATCCTGTGTGCCCTCGAAGATTGA